AGGCCTATGGAGGGGGCTAGGTTATGATCCCGTGTAAGTGAAGGCCTATGGAGGGGGCTAGGTTATGATCCCGTGTAAGTGAAGGCCTATGGAGGGGGCTAGGTTATGATCCCGTGTAAGTGAAGTCCTATGGAGGGGGCTAGGTTATGATCCCGTGTAAGTGAAGGGCTATGGAGGGGGCTAGGCTATGATCCCGTGTAAGTGAAGGCCTATGGAGGGGGCTAGGCTATGATCCTGTGTAAGTGAAGGCCTAGGAGGGGGCTAGGTTATGATCCCGTGTAAGTGAAGGGCTATGGAGGGGGCTAGGTTATGATCCTGTGTAAGTGAAGGCCTATGGAGGGGGCTAGGCTATGATCCTGTGTAAGTGAAGGCCTATGGAGGGGGCTAGGCTATGATCCTGTGTAAGTGAAGGCCTAGGAGGGGGCTAGGTTATGATCCCGTGTAAGTGAAGTCCTATGGAGGGGGCTAGGCTATGATCCCGTGTAAGTGAAGTCCTATGGAGGGGGCTAGGTTATGATCCTGTGTAAGTAAAGGCCTATGGAGGGGGCTAGGCTATGATCCTGTGTAAGTGAAGGCCTATGGAGGGGGCTAGGCTATGATCCTGTGTAAGTGAAGGCCTAGGAGGGGCTAGGTTATGATCCCGTGTAAGTGAAGTCCTATGGAGGGGGCTAGGTTATGATCCCGTGTAAGTGAAGTCCTATGGAGGGGGCTAGGTTATGATCCTGTGTAAGTGAAGGCCTATGGAGGGGGCTGGCTATGATCCTGTGTAAGTGAAGGCCTATGGAGGGGGCTAGGTTATGATCCCGTGTAAGTGAAGGCCTATGGAGGGGGCTAGGTTATGATCCTGTGTAAGTGAAGGCCAATGGAGGGGGCTAGGTTATGATCCCGTGTAAGTGAAGGCCTATGGAGGGGGCTAGGTTATGATCCCGTGTAAGTGAAGGCCTATGGAGGGGGCTAGGTTATGATCCCGTGTAAGTGAAGGGCTATGGAGGGGGCTAGGTTATGATCCTGTGTAAGTGAAGGCCTATGGAGGGGGCTAGGCTATGATCCTGTGTAAGTGAAGGCCTAGGAGGGGGCTAGGTTATGATCCCGTGTAAGTGAAGTCCTATGGAGGGGGCTAGGCTGTGATCCTGTGTAAGTGAAGGCCTATGGAGGGGGCTAGGCTATGATCCCGTGTAAGTGAAGTCCTATGGAGGGGGCTAGGTTATGATCCCGTGTAAGTGAAGTCCTATGGAGGGGGCTAGGTTATGATCCTGTGTAAGTGAAGGCCTATGGAGGGGGCTAGGCTATGATCCTGTGTAAGTGAAGGCCTAGGAGGGGGCTAGGTTATGATCCTGTGTAAGTGAAGTCCTATGGAGGGGGCTAGGCTATGATCCTGTGTAAGTGAAGGCCTATGGAGGGGGCTAGGTTATGATCCTGTGTAAGTGAAGTCCTATGGAGGGGGCTAGGTTATGATCCTGTGTAAGTGAAGGCCCATGAGGGGGCTAGGCTATGATCCTGTGTAAGTGAAGGCCTAGGAGGGGGCTAGGTTATGATCCCGTGTAAGTGAAGTCCTATGGAGGGGGCTAGGTTATGATCCCGTGTAAGTGAAGGCCTATGGAGGGGGCTAGGTTATGATCCTGTGTAAGTGAAGGCCTATGGAGGGGGCTAGGCTATGATCCCGTGTAAGTAAAGGTCTGTGGAGGGGGCTAGGCTATGATCCTGTGTAATTAAAGGTCTGTGGAGGGGGCTAGGCTATGATCCTGTGTAAGTAAAGGTCTGTGGAGGGCTAGGGTGAGGGGGCTAGGTTATGATCCTGTGTAAGTGAAGTCCTATGGAGGGGGCTAGGTTATGATCCTGTGTAAGTGAAGGCCCATGAGGGGGCTAGGCTATGATCCTGTGTAAGTGAAGGCCTAGGAGGGGGCTAGGTTATGATCCCGTGTAAGTGAAGTCCTATGGAGGGGGCTAGGTTATGATCCCGTGTAAGTGAAGGCCTATGGAGGGGGCTAGGTTATGATCCTGTGTAAGTGAAGGCCTATGGAGGGGGCTAGGCTATGATCCCGTGTAAGTAAAGGACTGTGGAGGGGGCTAGGCTATGATCCTGTGTAATTAAAGGTCTGTGGAGGGGGCTAGGCTATGATCCTGTGTAAGTAAAGGTCTGTGGAGGGGGCTAGGTTATGATCCTGTGTAAGTAAAGGTCTGTGGAGGGGGCTAGGCTATGATCCCGTGTAAGTGAAGGCCTATGGAGGGGGCTAGGCCAGTGATGGCGAACCTATGACACGCGAACTCATTTTTTTGGTTGATTTTTCTTTGTTAAATGGCATTTAAATATATAAAATAAATATCAAAAATATAAGTCTTTGGGAGAAACCAAGATGGCAGCATAGGTAAACACCAGAGTTAGCTGCCTCGAACAACCACTTCAAAAATACAACTAAAAGACGGAACGGACATCGCCCAGAACCACAGGAATACTGGCTGGGGGGAAATTCTTCAACTAGAAGGAAAGAGAACAGCATACGAGACTCAGAGGAGGCACAGTGCAGAAAATACAAAGGTGTGGAGGTACACGCAGAGTGGGCTGGTAGCTGAGGGTGCGGTTGTCGTTTTCAATCAGGAGGGAGTCTCAGATTCTTAGCTCCAGTTCTGGGCGAGTCTCTAGGGACCCAGACTCAAACGGGAGAAGCGGGACTGTCTGGCATCAGTCATAATGCAAGGGCAGCTTTCTCTCTGAGGTTTGCAGCGGTTGCTGGGACTCTGAGAGGCAGAGCCTCTGGGGATGGGACTGAGAGCAGCCATAACGGCTCCACCCGCCCTGTTGATCTGGTGGGACCCGCCCTGCCGAAGCCCTGCACATAGCCATTTGCCGGATAGCCTCAGGCAAAGACTAGATTAGCACCTCCCTAGAGGACAGAAGTTCTCCCACTGCAGACACAGCTGATTCTCACAGCCAGTTGGCCTGGAGGTCAAATCCCTCTAGTATTAACTACAACAATCAAGGCTTAACTACAACAAGACTGCGCACAAAGACCACTAGGGGGTGCACCAAGAAAGCATAAAAAATGCGGAGACAAAGAAACAGGACAAAACTGTCAATGGAGGATATTGAGTTCAGAACCACACTTTTAAGGTCTCTCAAGAACTGTCTAGAAGCCGCCAATAAAGTTATTGAGATCTATAAGAAATCTAATGAGACCCTCGATGTTATGATAAAGAACCAACTAGAAATTAAGCATACACGGACTGAAATAACGAATATTATACAGACTCCCAACAGCAGACCAGAGGAGCGCAAGAATCAAGGCAAAGATTTGAAATGCGAAGAAGCAAAAAACACCCAACCAGAAAAGCAAAATGAAAAAAGAATCCAAAAATACGAAGTAGTGTAAGGAGCCTCTGGGACATCTTCAAGCGTACCAACATCAGAATTATAGGGTTGCCAGAAGATGAGAGAGAGCAAGATATTGAAAACCTATTTGAAGAAATAATGACAGAAAACTTCCCCTACCTGGTGAAAGAAATGAACTTACACATCCAGGAAGCGCAGAGACCCCCAAACAAAAGGAATCCTAAGAGGACCACATCAAGACACATCATAATTAAAATGCCAAGAGCAAAAGACAAAGAGAGAATCTTAAAAGCAGCAAGAGAAAGACGGTCAGTTATCTACAAGGGAACACCCATACGACTGTCAGCTGATTTCTCAACAGAAACTTTGCAGGCCAGAAGGGAGTGGCAAGAAATATTCAAAGCGATGAATACCAAGAACCTACAACCAAGATTACTTTATTCAGCAAAGCTATCATTCAGAATTGAAGGTCAGATAAAGAGCTTCACAGATAAGGAAAAGCTAAAGGAGTTCATCACCACCAAACCAGTATTATATGAAATGCTGAAAGGTATCCTTTAAGAAGAGGAAGAAGAAGAAAAAGGTAAAGATACAAATTATGAACAACAAATATGCATCTATCAGCAAGTGAATCTAAGAATCAAGTGAATAAATAATCTGATGAACAGAATGAACTGGTGATTATAATAGAATCAGGGACATAGAAAGGGAATGGGCTCACTATTCTTGGGGAGGAAAGGGGTGTGGGAGATGCGGGAAGAGACTGGACAAAAATTGTGTACCTAGGGATGAGGACAGTGGGGGTGTAAGGGCAGAGGGTGGGGTGGGAACTGGGTGGAGGGGAGCTATGGGGGGGGAAAAAGAGGAACAAATATAATAATCTGAAAAATAAAGATTTAATAAAAATAAATAAATAAATATATATAAGTCTTTGTTTTACTATGGTTGCAAATATCAAAAAATTTCTATATGTGACATGGCACCAGAGTTAAGTTAGGGTTTTTCAAAATGCTGACACGCCGAGCTCAAAAGGTTCGCCATCACTGGGTAGGCTATGATCCCGTGTAAGTGAAAGCCTATGGAGGGGCTAGGCCAGGGGTGGGCAAACTTTTTGACTCGAGGGCCACAATGGGTTCTTAAACTGGACCGGAGGGCCGGAACAAAAGCATGGATGGAGTGTTTGTGTGAACTAATATAAATTCAAAGTAAACATCATTACATAAAAGGGTACGGTCTTTTTTTTTTTAGTTTTATTCATTTCAAACGGGCCGGATCTGGCCCACGGGCCGTAGTTTGCCCACGGCTGGGCTAGGCTATGATCCCATGTAAGTGAAGGCCTATGGAGGGGGCTAGGCTATGATCCCATGTAAGTGAAGGCCTATGGAGGGGGCTAGGCTATGATCCTGTGCAAGTGAAGAAATATAGAATTCTCATTCTCTTGCAATTGTCACAGATTCACCTGTTCTGAGTAAATGCTGCCCTTCCTTATGACTAAAGTTTTCTCTTTATATTTTAATTACGAAAGATTTGGGAACACTTTCTAAAACGACTGTAATAAAATATAACAAAAAAGCATTCAAACTTTAGATACTGCATTGCTTGCTTTTTTCCTACTCTCATTGGGTGAATGCGCATTTGTTTCTGACTGGTACTCATTTCTCTTGGTCATTAGGTTGCCCCCAATGATGAAGCTGTGGTGACATTATTGTGCGAATGGGCTGTGAGCTGTAAACGGTCCGGCAAGCACAGGGCGATGGCAGTGGCAAAACTCTTGGAGAAGAGGCAAGCGGAAATCGAGGCTGAGGTGGGTGTTCCTGTCTGCTTGTTGAATGCCATCATTTAAACATTATGTTTTGGGAAGGACTCTTTTTTCTTATCCTCATTATACTATATTTTTTCTTTTAAAGGAAAAAGGGAGAATGTACAAATTCATGGCAGGATCTCTCTAAGTTAACGAAGCCAATAGTTCATATACTGGACTAACTTACAATTATCTTTTATTTTTATTTTTTCTCTATTGATTAAGGTATTACATATGTGTCCATATCCCCCATTGTCTCTCCCCCCAACCCCCCACTCTTGCCCTCACCCCCCTGGTGTCTGTGTCCATTGATTAGGCTTATATGCATGCATACAAGTCCTTTGGTTGATCTCTCCCCCTTACCCCTACCTTCCCCTACCTTCCCTCTGAGGTTTGACAGTCTGATCAATGCTTCTCTGTCTGTGGATCTGTTTTTGTTCATCAGTTTATGTTGTTCATTAGATTTCACAAATGAGTGAGATCATGTGACATTATCTTTCTCTGACTGGTTTATTTTGCTTAGCATAATGCTTTCCAGTTCCATCTATGCTGTTGCAAATGGTAAGAATTCCTTCTTTTTTACTGCAGCATGGTATTCCATTGTGTAGATGTACCACTGTTTTTTAATCCACTCATCTGCTGATGGGCACTTAGCCTGTTTCCAAATCTTAGCTATGGTAAATTGTGCTGCTATGAACATAGGGTGCATATATCCTTTCTGAGTGATGTTTCTAGTTTCTTGGGATATAGTCCTAGAAGTGGGACTATGGAGGGGGCTATGTCAAATGGGTCAAATGGGAGTTCCATTTTTAGTTTTTTGAGGAAGCTCCATACTGTTTTCCACAGTGGCTGCACCAGTCTGCATTCCCACCACCAGTGCACGAGGGTTCCTTTTTCTCTGCGTCCTCGCCAGCACTTGTCGTTTGTTGAACAATTATCTTTTAAAACAAAACTTTAATATCTAAGAACAAAGAACTCTTCCTTTGCGAGGTTAAGATACATACACACAAGTGTGTGTGTGTGTATATATATATATATCTTGTATTATTATATATGTTTGTGTATATATTTTTATATTATGGATTTTAAAGCCACATAATATTTTAGTGGAACCAGAAGTGCTTTGCCTATGAATTTATAGGTAGCAGTTTGTATTATTGTTTGAGATTTTGTTCTGGCCCCAGAGAAGGCAATTATGGCCTCAGCAGTAGATTATTATGGGAAAACAGAGCTAGCTTCATAAACATGAGCTTTTGTTGAAGGGAACATTTTTAAGCGAGCCCCTTTTTGTGCCTGTGAAATTCTGTGAAATTCTGCAGGTCTGGAGAAGGTGTGCTTTGACCAGGCCACTTCCTCTCTCACCTCGACACCTGTTGGGCCTCCTACCTTGTTTCTTCATAGCTAGACCCATCTTTTCAAAGTAGGAACAGATCACACTGTCCCCTTACTAAAACTCCGTGATGGGTCCTTACATGGCCCACAGAGCCTCGAGGGCTGCCCTACCTGCCTCTCCCCCCGCCATCTCCTACCTTTTTCCTCTGGGACACACAGGATTGCAGACGCCTTGGACTTTCTGTCCCTCCATCACTCCAAACTCCCTTTTATCTTTGGGTCTTTGCCCCTGCTGTTTCTTCTGGTGGCACACCCTGCTCCCCAATTTTCACATGGCCAGTTTCTTTCTGCCATTCCTATTTCAGAAAGTGTCACTGTCTTTGTAGCATTCCCAGCTCAACATGTGTCACCTCCTCAGTCACTCTTCTCACATCACTCTGTTTTACTTTCCTCAGTGGCTTATTGTTTCACGCCTGCCTGCCTCTGGGATGTAAGCTCAACAATAGGAACCCGAATACCCAGAATAGTGCTCGTGCATAGTAGATGCTCAATAAATATTGCATGAATGGATGAGCACTTAGCTGGCTCTCTGTTACTGATAATGTACCTACTTCCTATGAAGCTATTAAAAACAAAATAGGAAGAATGTTTTCATTGATAGCTCTTTTGGGAAGGCACTGTTCACCAGATACAAAAGATCATGTTGTTGAAATTGGGGCTTGAAGATATTGATGTTAAGGTGTAAGACACAAGCCCATTTTGCAATGTGCAAATTAGGAAAAGTGTTTCATGGCTTTTTTTCTATACATTTATGAATAGACTATTCTACAGTGAATTGAAATGATTAAAGTTTAGTAACTAAAGTTGAATTTCTCAGATTTCATTGTTGCTTCTGGATTGTTGTCATTCCCTCCCTCCACCCAGTGTGTCCCAGAATGAACACACACACACACACACACACACACACACACACAATCACTTTCAGAAGAGGTTCACACACAGATTGCTTTGTAATTTTAATAGGTGTAACTGTATTCTTTCAGAGATGTTTAAGATAATTGATTTCTAATAAACATGAAAAATTGACCTTTGTGAAGAAAGGATGGCTTGGAGAAATATGTTAATATAATAATTAATAACTTAATATTGAAGAATAAGGATCAAAGGGATATTGAAGAGAATAAAAAACGAGGATCTGATTACTTCTAAACTGTTTCTTTTCTGGTTTTCTAGTAAGTTTTATCTTTTTAAAAAAATTAATAATTCATTTAAAGAATAGTTTATTGATTTTTAGAAAGAAAAGATGGGAGAGGGAGAGGAAGAGAAAGAGAGAAACATCAATGTGAGAGGGTAACATTGATTGGCTGCCTCCTGCATGTCCCCTATCGGGATTGAGCCTGAAACCCCGGACGTGTGCCCTGACCAGGAATCGAACCGGCAATCTCTCAGTGCTTGGGATGACACCCACCTGAGCCACACCAGCCAGGGCAGTAAGTTCTATCTTAGGAGTTCACACGTTGAACAGCTTCTCTTGATGTGTTTCATGAACTGTGGAGAGTCCCAGAGGTTCTGCGAGATCTCATTGGTAAAATGTGATGAATAAGTGAAAGAACCTTATTGGGGGAATTATGTTAGCTTTCTTATTCCACACCACACTTCTCCACACACACTTGTAAATACCCCCACCTGACCAAAACAAACACAAAAGAATGGAACTCAATAATACATTGCCAAACATTTCTTAGGGGGAATACAGTTAAGCATGAGCTATTTAAAAATGATGACCTCAAATTATTTTTAGCAGTTGGTACAGGAATACTGAGTAGTGTATTCTGTACTATGTTGTGTATTTAATGGATGCTCATACAGTACTGTGTAGAGTTTATAATTCAGATGAATAATGTTTTTCAGGGGTATGGTTTGAAATAATTTCAATTGTTCTGGATTAGCTTCCTGAACTTGTAAAATTATATTTACCCACTATGCATGGCCTACAAATATATAGAGAAATCTCAATTTATATTTTATCTGAGAACTTAAATGTTAATGAGAAACTAACCTATTCATGACCCACTGTGACCATACTTGTCCTTTATAACTTATTGTGCTTGTTTACTTTTAATCTTTAGAGATGTGGGGAGTCAGAGGTCTTAGATGAGAAGGAGTCCATTTCTTCTGCGTCTCTTGCTGGATCTAGTTTGCCTGTTTTCCAGAATGTTCTGCTAAGGTTTTTAGATACACAGGCCCCCTCATTGTGTAAGTAAAGCTCTTTGCTTTTAGATCTTAAATAAGGGAATGGCTTCCACCCCCTTCTTTTAAAGCTGTTTATTTCTTTAAATTTTTATTTGCATCTTATCAAAAGTTCTTGGCACTGAATATAATGTATATTTTACTGAACAAAATTTTGTGGCATGTTTTCAATGGATATTTTTGTGCAATTTTAAAATTAGGTGAACTTCAAAGGTTTAAAATTTTGTAGAGTTTAAAAATAAAGTGCCTCCTTCCTTTGTAATTAGTGGACTAATTTTCCCTTTATAGATCTTTCTTACCAAAATAGAGGAGCTAAGATGTTTCACTGTATATTGTGATTTGGAAATTTCTCTTTTCAAACCATTTTCTAAATTTTTTATTTTCTAACTTTGCATCTTAAAAGGTGGGTAGAGGGTGGGAATCAAATAACAGTACTTTATAACAAGGTCCTAGATACAAGGAAATTATTTGTAAATATGGTTGGCTGCTTGCTAACTCTCTCTTGGATGTTCATGTCATCTTATATTCTTTTTCTTTTATTCTGTAGTTGATGGCAAGCTGAGAGTTTGGGGGAATAAACCACCCAGTAGGTTCATACTGTGGGTGCCACTTTAAAAAATCTTTGTGTGAGCTAAATGGGCTTGATCTTATTCTGAGGCTTTTATGTGTCAGAGTACAGCAGGGAGGGTCTTAGGATAGATAGTGATAGAACAGAAAAATGGCAAAAAGTGAAAAGTGATAGAAAAGGGAGAAAAAGAGTGGAGGGAGGGGAAGGAAGATGTTTGTGAAGGAGAAAAAGGTAAAGCATCTAGAAATAGCCCTGCTTCCAATTCCTCTGAGAAGGGCCTCCTTTTGGGTTGAGTGATGCCTGGGGGTCTTTAGTTATTTTGTGGCTGGTCGAGTTCAGAGGAAGAGAAAGAGCTGGAGTCAAGCTGATTGTTGGAATGTAGGGAGAGAAATGAAACATGTAAGTGAAGCAGGGAAATGAGAAGACAGGAGATATACCGAATAGAAAGTATATTGCCAGTAGTGGAAATTAGCAGCTCTAACGTCTCTTATGTCCGGAGAAGACACACGTTTGCCCTGGGCTTCCTTGTCCGACCCACTCCTGTTCTCTTTCTGGGAAATACATTCTTCTCTGCCACTGCTTCTTCTGGATTCCATTTTCTGTCAGAGAAGCTGCTTGTGTCTCCGTGCAGAGGCTGCTGTATTGAATGTGGTGGTGGACGAGAACAGACATTCAGGTGTCAGGTTTAATGTTCCCTGGATGGTCTGTTCGTCTCTGTGTTTGCAAGTGTGCTGGGACCGGGGCTGAGCTTTGCAGGGTTAGTCTTAACATTTTTAACCTCTCAAAGGTACAGATACAGAGTTTTAGAGTGCAGTTACAATATTAAAAGTCATAATGTAAATTAAATAGACTGGTTATGAATTAAAAAAGACAAAAGAGCTTCTGTCTATGCTCTTTGAATTTCATTTTCCCTTTTTCTTTTCAGTGGATCCCGCTCATTTTTTAAATTTTAATTACCATTTGAATTGTGGTTCTGTTGTGAAATCTCCTTGGGAAAAATGTATAATGTGCCCCACAAATACACAGATACACTCAAACTCTGAAAGCAGCCACAAGCAGTTTTAGTGATAAAACCAGAGGACAGCAATCTTGGCCTGTGTTTTTGTTTTGTTTTGTTTTGAACTTGAAATTCTGTGTGTTTATATTATTATTTAAAAGACTATTCATTTGCCTGGGCCCACTATCTTTAAACTTGAAGTTGTACTTAGCATACTGGATAGTATTTTTAATTGCAGTGGGACAGTAAAAACCTATGAGCCATTTCTATACAAAACAATAGTGCCTCATAGGAAATTTGGCAATAATGGTTGATTTTGTAAAAAAAAATTGTGAAAAGTGGTTCTAATATTGTTAAGCCTTAGCAATATTTTTATAAAATTTATTTATCTTTTAACGAGATCAGTGGAAACTGAATTTTTGATGGAATTGTTTCTATAGCGGATCCAAACAGTGAATGTGAGAAGGTGGAGTTTGTGAACCTGGTGCTGCTCTTCTGCGAGTTCATCCGGCACGATGTCTTCTCTCACGACGCTTACATGTGCACCCTCATCTCCCGGGGAGACCTGTCCGTCACCTCCTCCACTCGGCCACGGTCGCCTTCGGGAGAAAATGCAGATGAGCACTACCCCAAGGACCATGACATGAAGATGGAGGTATGGCCCTGGGAGGGTGTGCCTGCTCCCCTCATTTCCCCAACCCGCTCCAAAGGATGTGCGATGGAAGGGTGATCACTTTTTTTTTTAAATATATTTTATTGATTTTTTACAGAGAGGAAGGGAGAAGGATAGAGAGTTAGAAACATCGATGAGAGAGAAACATCGATCAGCTGCCTCCTGCACACCTCCCACTGGGAATGTGCCCGCAACCAAGGTACATGCCCTTGGCCGGAATTGAACCTGGGACCCTTCAGTCCACAGACCGATGCTCTATCCACTGAGCCAAACCAGTCAGGGCTGGTGATCACTTTTTAATTGTATTCTCTTGTTTCAAAGCTCATGTATCTCTACTTCCGCTCACAAAAACAGACTATAATTTACATCTTCCAGAGTTTTCTTTTGGATACTCTAAAACTATTAATGAAAAGATTTGACAGGCCATAATATTTTTCTTTGAATTAGAAATATGTGCTTCCAGTTTTATGTATTTCTAATCCCCAGTTTCCTTTAATGTTTGTCTGAAAAATGGACTTGTTTTGACCCTAAAGTCCTGGTTTAGTGTTCATTCTAAGGAGCATCTTCCCTGATGTATTTTGTTCATTAATTGTACCAGTGTTTTATACATAGTGGGAAATTCTGTGTTAGACTTAACACATCATGTCTTCATTCAATGAATAAAAAATTTAATATTTATTTCTCAAATGTTTTAAAGTTAAGTTGTTCTTTTCAACAAATTATTTTATGCAGTGACTATGAATTTATAATTTTCTGCCAATTTCTGATATTTTGGACATTGTTCCAGATACTTATTGAAATTTTCAAGGCAAAAAAACATGAAGTTGGTGATGGGAAATAGTAGAAAATGGTGAGAGATTATGATAATTCCTTAACAATAAAACCTCATGTTGGTTGTATGAGAGTTTAAGTATATAATATTATATTTTTTTAAGCCAGCACCTATACTTGTAATTTAAAAACCTGACATTAGAATTATACACATTGATTCATAGTTTAAACTCTTAAGATTTGGTGACTAAATGGTATAGGAATTTTAAAAAATCTTTAGTATAAATACGTTTGTTTCTAAATTTGTCCACAGTATAAGTTATATAGGGTGAAAAAATTAAAGCTACTTTACCTGTTTAGGCTTTTTCTATGTTTCTGATTTTTCTTTTTTGTTCTTCAATATCAAGATATCTTAAAGCTTAGATTTTTCTTACTAAGAAAAGTTGGTGAGCACGTGACTGGGAATAGCCCAGGGAAGGAGATTATGGTCAGTTTGTTTTTATCAGGACGTTCCTGTGCTCTTCCCTTAAAAAAGTCATGGAAGTTGAATCTTTCTCATCATGAGGACAAAGAGTGACTTTCCAAAGCAATGCATACTTTAAACCTTCTTTATTTTTGGAAAAGACACTAAGAGGAAATAAGAGGGTGGTTAAAAATGTTACTGTCCTGCTTTAGCATCAGTTTCTTAATGAGCTACACCATCTACCATGTGACTTCCTTTCTCTGACCATCATCAGGGACAGACTGTTATGGCACATATGGGTATTGGCTCAGGAACTATTGATCTTTTTGATGAAGTAGACAAGTGACTTTAAAACTGACTTGGGTTCGCAATTCCCAGGAGGTTAACCATTGAATTATTATTGACTATGAATCCCTCCCCGACCCCGACCCCAGCAGGGCTCTGCCCTCTGTTTCTTGCTCAGGCACTGGAATGACCTGTGTACTTGCGATGTAAATATGACCCCAGTACATTCCTCCCCAGGGCACAGTCCATCAGCTCTGTAGTTGTTTCCTGTCGCTTCATCCTCGGTTTCATCTGTACTGCCTCCTTGGGAAATTTAACACTCCTGCCCTCCTAGACCTTTTGTTCCTTTTGAGATCGGCATCTCTCAGGAAAAAGGAGTGTAGTAGTTTCATCAGGACAGTGCATGTTGATTTGCCGCATATGTGTTTAGCTTCTAAATAGTAGCTTTCCTGGCTCTGGACTTGCTATACATTCTTTTACTTTATCTAAGTATAATTATGTGCTCTTCCCCATGAATCTTAATGAGTCCCTCTTTATAAAAAATATTGTTTGGGGAAAAGAATAAAACCTTTATGTTATTCATTAGCTTGTTAACTATTTCAGTGCATGTGTTTTTGTAGGAAATGTAGCCCTAAGAGGAAAACACTGACCTGTAGTCTGGTCTGTCTCCGGCCCTCCAGGAAATACAGCTGGGCCCATTTCTCACGTGTGTGGTCGTCATGGTCTCATCCTCAAAATGGAGGACGATGGCGACAGCTTCCTAGTGATCTGAATATGAAGTTATGGAAATAAGCAAAATTTCTGTTTATATTTTGCTCAGTGGTTAAATAAGGAAAGGATATTGTTTGAGTGTTTTCTGTGTTGGAAGCTCTGTATACAGTTCTGGTGTTGGCTTCACTCTCTTTCATTTATAACCTCCACCATTTGCTTTACACGACTTAGATTTTTTCTCCTATGCCTGGAGAGTCCTGTGAGATCATCAACCCTTCCTTGGGCAGAAGAATGTCAGTTAATGGTGAGAAGCTGCTGAAGAGAGAAAAACCAAGAGAGTTGATTTTTCCATCTAATTATGACCTCCTGCGACACCTGCAGTATGCAACACATTTTCCCATACCTCTGGTAAGTCAGTGCGTCAGTCAGTTGACAACCTGATTATTTCATTAGAGGATGATTAGCCATAGACTATTCAACTACTTGCCTGAACAGTACATGTGATAGCAGGTGAATGTTTGTATTCATTGCTTCTTTTGTTATAACTCTGACCATATGGTTTATGTACTGATGAGTGCCCATGTGTGGTGTGATACTACTAGCTGACTAGATTTAACAGAATTTACTATATTAATGTCCTTTTATTGAGCATTTGAGTCACTGCAAATAATGGCTAAATTTGTTTTCCTACTTCAATTTGAAACTCATTTATCGAGTAGCATTTATGTGCACTGTATTGTGGTAGTTACTTTTGGTATTATGCAGATGAATAACAATTTATGGACATAGGAAAGATGAATAAGATAGGAGAGCGAAGTTTATATAAAGAGCGAAGTGCTCTATTTTAAAGGGAAACAAGTTTTAGTTTTAGTTTTAGGTTTAAGGTATGCATTGCTTTGGAAAGTCACTCTTTGTCCTCATGATGAGAAAGATTCAACTTCCATGATTTTTTTAAGGGAAGAGCACAGGAACGTCCTGATAAAAGATGAATAAGATAAAATGACAAGCATTAAAAAGTACAATGAGTAAAAACCCAAGTGCCCACTGGAAGGTGAACCATTTGACATTTTTGGGTTTCTTCCACTCTCCAAGAGTAAATGTTGGAAGGGAGAGAGAGCATCTGATTGAGAAATTGGGTAGGGCTTCATGGAAGAGGTTGTATGTGAGATGGATTTGGATTTTGACCTGTTGAATTTAAGAACTGGAGAGCACATGGGAAATACTTGCCAGGAAATTTAGTGTGTGAGTTATAAAGAGTGAAGTGCTCTATTTTAAAGGGAAACAAGTTTAGTTTTTGTTATTAGTAATGAAGATTGGGCCAAGATCTGTAAATGTTTTTATTCTTAGGTTCACTATCATTTTTTCCTGGGATTTTAAGTATAATTTTAATGAGTAAATCTCATTGAACACTATTATTATTTTAGCAAAAATATAATTTTAGGCATGCATTATGTTATTTCCTGCATATCTTTGAGGAGTTTTGATCTGCGAACTAAATATTTTATTACATTTGTTTATTTATTGATTGATTGATTGGTTATTTTGGAACTTCCTCTGAAATGACTTTCAAAATCACTACACCCATGTATTTTCTCCCCTTTATTAAATTAAGAACCCTTTTTTTGGTGTGAACTTTTCTATGTCCAGGGTTATGTCAAAAGTTGCCATAATTTTTTCATGTTCATCACTGGCTGACTGTATCAACATTATTTTTTTTAATCTTCACTCGATATTTTTACCATTGATTTTTAGAGAGTGGAAGGGAGAAGGAGAGACAGAGAGAAACATCGATGTGAGAGAGACATATCAGTTCGTTGTCTCCCACATGCCCCCAACCAGGGCCGGGAGCCTGCAACCGGGGTATGTGCCCTTGACCGGAATCAAACCTGGGACCCTTCACTCCGCGGGCCGACGCTCTATCCACTGAGCCAGATTGGGTAGGGCTGTCTCAACACTTATCAGCTGTTACCTGTGTCACTCATTTTTAATATAATGGAATAATCTTACAGTTTATTCAGGGCAGCAGAAAGAGTAGCCCTGATATTTAGAGCTGTACCCTGAAGAATCCCTGGATGAACTATCATGATATCTGGGATTTGTTTTAAAATAGAGTCAGGGGGCCGGGTAATTGAAGTGGAGTGTAGTTAACAGTAACGCACCGGTGTTAATATCCCGTTTTTGACAAACGTGTTGTGGGTGTGTAAGGCATTAACATTAGGGCAAAATGGGATGAAGGGTATGTGGGAACTCTACCATATTTATACCTTTCTTATAAATTTTATATTACTTCAAAATAAAAGGTTTATTTTAGAAAAAGAAGAAAATGGAGAGGGGGAAATGAAGCAAATATGGCAGTGTTGAGAATGGTTGAAGCTGGGTGAGCAGAGCTTCGCAGGGCTCCCCTCCATGTGCCTGGTGTCAGAGCAGGGCGCTCCCCACACACTTCTTCATTCTTTTGTTCATATCCTTAGCAACGCCGTCATCCCCGGCGTTTAGTATTCTAAACACTGTCCACTAACTTCCCTGAGGAAAGAACATGAAGTACTTCTAATGGCTAATTCTCATGATGAATTATGATATAATTCAATTGTATTGCAATCATAAAAAGACCTAATAAATGGATGTGGCAGGGTATATTTCATAGCCTTCCATCACCAGTTGCCCTAAACCCCTTTATACTGTGAGTATAATTAGAAGGCATCAATAAAGGGAAATAAAAGTATATATTAATATAACATGTTGTAGAGTCTGGTTCTCTTTACTAAAAAGGAAAATTAGGCTGATTTATCAAGCAAGTGAGGAGACTATAAGAATATGATTTAAAACAAAGATTCTTTTACCTCTCTCTCTAAGATGTGGCCCTAGTGACTGAAGGCCAAGGAGAGAGGACTAAAGCGGACTTCACCAAAGAGTTTTGAAAAATAGACTAGTTTCATGTATTCTCCTATAGGAATAATGTCTTGATCTGCCCATCAGTAAAAACATGTTCTTAGAATACCAACAAGCACAGGTTCTAGGATAGGCATCATACCAGCCTGTCAGGTATAGACATGTGATGCTGATGGGGGCTCCTGTCATTAACACTTGCCAGCTAGCATTTTTTCAGAACTTACCATGTTATGAGTGCAATAGGCACTTTTGTGTGTGTATTTTCTTATTTATCATTCTCTTCAAACTCAAAGAATATATTTGTGAAATTGTAGACAGGAGTTGTCTTGGGTCAGGCCTTAGAAAATAATGCTTCATGCAGATCTAAAAAGGGTATGGAATCAAACTTGTTTTATTACTTCCCAGGAACATAGTTTCTTAATCATGGCAGTTAATGTTCATGGATTACCAATTGTTTTCATATGAGCTTTTACTATCGAGATGAAAACCCCCCACAAAACTTCATGTATGCTTGTCTAAACTTTGTAATCTTCTTTTCTTTAAATAAGTGTCTTATTTCATCATCTATTGAATCGTTTCTGCATTACTGGTAGTAGAGAGATCGAAGGGTGTGACCCTTAGAGCAGGAGTCACCCGCACTCCAGTGTGCTGGCCTCAGATGGGGTCACTCACCTTCAGGATCTGGGTGGCAGCAGCCAGCCTGGCACCACTGCTTTCCTAACCAGGCCTTGTTGTGTGGAGTGGGCATATCTATTTTAAGACCATTTGACTGATGCTCTTTTTCCATAACTTCAATGTGAGTTTCTAGTTCCAAAACAGTAGTTTGGCAGTTAGTGTAATTTAACAATTCCCCTTGAAAATGTTATAGGGTCTATTTCATATTGCTATAAAATAAAAATAAGAAATCACTGAATTTGTCATACTAACAGCAGAAAGTTACTGGAGTAGTGAGCTGAAAGGTGGATTAAAAATAAATCAGGTTTCATGTAAAAATAAGCTGGCTTTTTTTTTTTTTTTTTTTTAAGTGATCTAAAAGGCTTTAAATTGTGTTGCTGAAGGGCTTTATGGCAACTTACGTAGAGTTTATATGAAGAGGTCAATGGCGCTAACCCCTTCACAGTAAGAAATCTACATATAACTTGTGATTCCCCCCAAACTTATCTTCCAATAGTGCACTGTTGACCGGAAGCCTTACTGATTTCATAAACAGTTGGTGGACTCATATTTTTTACATTATATGCATTATGTATTGTATTCTTATAATAAAGTTAGCTTGAACAAATAAAATGTTATTGAAAAAAATCATAAGGAAGAGAATATGCGTTTACAGTACCATATGTATTTATTGAAAAAAAATTGCGTGTAAGCGGACCCATGCAGTTCAAACCTCTATTTAAGGGCCACCTTTATTTTGCATATTTTTCTCAAGAAGTCAGTTCCAGGTATTTCAGTGAACACCTCACAAACACCTCTGTGTCTGCAATAGAAGTCATTTGGATTTCAAGGGTATTGCAGGGTTTTACATTGGTTTAACAAGAATTTTTAGTTTTTTTGTACAAATATTTGCCTTAACAACCAAGAAGTACTGCTTGGTTTGCATTTAAAAACAGGGTTTCACAGTAAACCATGCCACATTTGCTAACTGTCTGTACTTTTACATTCTGAGGCTCTCTTTTTCTCCTCTTTTCCAGTTGTTTTGCACTTGTTGTCCAGTAAGGGAAGAAGTTGCAGCATAAAGTTATAGCACAATCCCATGGTTTATGCATCATTTTCACAACTTGATTTTTCTTTCTGAGCCCTGCTCTCCTTACCTGAAGCAAAAGTTGCAGTCACCTTCAAGCGGAATGCCTTTGAGAGCTGATAGTACAGGAGAGGGTCAAAGCACAAGTTTGACACCGCCAGGAGCAGCGTGGCCTCTTTGGCTTTGAAGAGGGAAATCCTGGTTGGACAGTCAGATATGACCTCGGTCTGGCTGAGCGTGTATGGGATTCTGACAATGTGATAAGGAACAAAGCATATAATGTAGGCTGTAGTCACTAAAAGTATGTTAACGAGAGCTCTTTTCACATTTGAATAATTTTCATTATCTTTGTTTCTGTAGAGTTGTCGAATTACTAGGCAGTTTGATATCAAAATGATGGCTGAGAAATTTAAAAATATAGCTATACATATGAAGTTTGTCAGCAAATGCCAATTTCTTCCAAACTCCTTTTTGAATTCCATGCATCCTACATTTGGCTTTTCCTTGATGTCTTTGATGGGAATCACCATGTTTGGCACCATTATCAGAAGGACCATTCCCCACACAACAGCCGATATCATTTTGCCAAATCCAGGTTCTTGTATTCGATAAATCTTGCAGCTGTGTGTCAATTGAAGACAGCGGTCAATGCTGACAAATGCTAAGAAGATAATCGATAAGTACATATTAATGTAGATGAGGCAGGCTGTTACTTGGCAGTGGAATATCCTCAGCTTCCAGGGTGCCACACCCAAGTCAACAGCAATTTTCACTGGTA